GACACAGAGGGCGGTGAAGTATCAGCACAATATAACCCATGGATTGCAGGAACACGACCTATCACTTGACATTGTGGTTTAGGACTGTGTATCACACACATTATATCCTCGATGAGGGGAGAACACCCAGCGTGGTCAAGACATGACACAGAAACAAAGATAAAGGCCATCTGAGGTGCATAGTAGACCTTTTTGGGCAAAATAAGGATTGATTTTTCCCCTTTCTTCATTGGCAGATAGATACAAAGATTGGGCACTGAAAATGTGTCCATCAGCAGCTCAGATAGGTTCAGGGTTGATCTCCTGATAATCTAAAACATTTCCATGAGACAGCAAAAAGTGGCTGCTAGCACTGCAATCAATGATGATGCCAGTAGAAGGAGAGACAGCATAGGCTTTGTGATTATGTCCAGATGTGACAGCAAGTTCAACGTTATCATTGATGGCATGGTCAGGGGTGTCAATGGTCAAGAATGTGAGAAAAGCATAATTTTCATCTTTGTCTTCAGTCTCAATGGCATTTGCTGACTTTGATTTTTCAGCCTTGTCCTTCCCCTTTCCCTTGTGTTTCTTTAGCCACAATTCAGGTGCCTTTCTGGCCATTCTACCACCATCCTCAAAGCATTGATCCTCAGTATGTCCATTTTTATCACAGTTCTTGCAATGACATTTGTCTTTTCCTTTCCCTTCAGGCTTAAACTTGCATTTACCATTCTTTGATTCACTTTTAGCCTTGGTGTGAGCCACAACCATTGCTTCGTGTTGCTGATTAATGCTGCTCTCAATAACAGCATTATTGGCCTCTTCAGTAAGGTGCCAGATTAAATCTTGACTGGATATAGGTTTATGAACAACATGAGCATTGGCAGATAACATCATAAGGAGTGGTTTGTAGGTGGGTGCAAGTGACAGTGAAGTGTCGATATAACTTGCAAAGGAAGCATTGGACAGGGAACAGTTGATTTTGGCAAGGCTTTCCTTGAGAACAACAAGGTTGGTAAGGTGTGTGTGCATGTCAATCTCACCATTTTCAATGAAACGAGCATTTTGCAGGCAGGCAAGCAGGTCAGTCTCGAACATTGCACCTTTATTGCCATGGATTGAAGCAAGCTTTTTCCAGACATCAGCAGCTGCAAGTTCACCTTTAATTTGGTGAAACGTTGACTGATCAACGGTGCCATAGATGATTTCTCAGATCTGGGCTTCTTTCTGTAGCCAGTCATCCAGTGCATCCTCATGTTCCTCGATTTCCTTGTCCAATAGCGGTGCTAAGGATTTGTCATCATGGTAGAAGGAACCATCACGTTTGACAATCGTGACCGGTTTACGTGCAGTACCAATGACATGACAACAGAGCTTCTTTGAAGTCAACGCGTTGATGATGTGTTCCTGATATGTCATCCAGTTTGATCTGTCAGCAGACAGCTTCGGGACTGTGAGTCTTGATAACAAAATGTCGTAGGTATCTTCGGGGCCCATAATCTGTTGCGCAGGACCGGTCTCGGGAACAGAGTGACACGGAGAATCTCGGGACTGAAACAATGAGGAACCTCAGTGAGTTAATAGCATTGAGAGTAGTATTCATAGCAATGTACCTAAAACAATGAGTACTACAATATATGGGTGAGCGTAATGTAACAAGAGCGAAACAATGACTTACACCTCAGTGAGTTAATAGCACTGAGGTGTGATGTGGACAATAGCCGGCATATAACGAACAAAAAGGATCACTTCAGTCTGGGTCCATAACATATCCACAACATGGTCTGGGTGAAGCGGGCCAGTATCTGCCCTCATCCTCAGGGCAATGGGCTGGCATGTGGAAAGTACCCTTGGCAGTGTTAATGGTTATGAATGTGCCAGTTGTTGGGTTTGTCCATCCCCTTTGCTGGTCGTTGTCATTTAGAATGGTGAGTGGCCTGTGCCCAGTTCCCTCCTCAAAGATAACATCCCGTTCATGGGGACTAGATCAAGGGAACTCAACGTACAGACAGTAAACGTGGAGTACTTACATACATATCGACTCTAACATTATCTGCTTTCAACCAGTCAAAAATTTGAAATGTTATCGTCATTTGGTGTAAAAGCACGGCGGATTCCGTCCATGATTCGAGGTGTAAGTTGTTGCTGAGCACGATGGGTGAAGGCAACCAAAACATGCTTCGTTTGGGACAAATTTAAAATGATTGTTGAACAACTGCAGCTATCATTTTCTCAGTCTCATTGAATTAGGCAATATGGTACATGTTTCACACTTAGTTCCTGTAAGTGTGATTTGCTGACCCGATTCCTTCAATCATTATTGTATTCCGGTAGTTCAAACCCATTTGGTCAGACTTCTCATCTATAAGACATCTTTAGAAATAGTAGATAAAAAGATGTACATACAATCAAATACTGAGACGGCCAAGGCGTTTGTATTGCGGATCAAGGCGCATGCCAAGCGATCAATAACTTATCTGATAAGGCCGCGAACCTGGCGAGTTTTCACGGTATGGATTCTTCTCTAAAGACTGTTGTCGTGCTCGGGGCGGCGTATGGAGGTGTGTGCTGGCGGCGACTACAACGGGCATTGTACTGACCACGGCAGGCTGTAGAGCAGCGCAGATCCTCGCGGGCGGCCTTCCAGAAGGCTGGAGGGTGCTGCTCGTCGACCGCAACTCGTACGTCGCACAATGCCCCCGTTTTACTGTGTGCTGACGACGTCGTGAAGACATATGAATAGTGAGGAATATCGCAGGCTCTCTGACCGCCGCTGACTGTCTACAGACGTCTATATCTTCCCGCGTGTGTCTGTCCTGCCCGGCCACGAACACAAAGCCTGTACGTCGCCCAATCTCGCGCTGGCCAGTGCTAATGCCGCCCAGTCATCCCGCTCTCCAAGGTCTTCCTCTCAGATAACCCGTCCCACCGCTGTCTCCACGCCACCGTCACCTCCATCCGCACAGACTCCGTCACGCTCTCCCGCGCGTTCCCGGAGCATGGCCTGCCGTCGCCCACCGTGCCGTACGACTACATGATATACGCCCTCGGCTCCGTCCTCCCCGCCCCGCTCGACCTCTGGCGTGCAGACCCTGCCAGCAAGCTACCGCTCTACCACGGCACAAAGCCCCAGGGCATCGCATGGATGAAGCAGCATCAAGAGATCGTCAAGGACGCGCAGAGTGTCCTCGTCGTGGGCGGAGGAGCACTGGGCATCCGTACGTCCCCGCAGACGCTCCTTGCGCCAGATCTCACCCTCTGCAGAATTCGCGACGGACATCGCGACAATATATACCGAGAAGAAAGTCACTCTGCTTCATTCGCGCAAGCGCCTCTTACCCCGCTTCGACGAGGCCATGCACGACGAGAGTGAGCACCACGTTTCCTTCCTTACTCCTTGCGCCCATGCGTGCCGCAGCCATGAAAGTACTCGAAACGATCACAAACCTCGACGTCATCCTCAACGAGCGTCTCGACCTCTCCTCCCTCAGCCCGAGTTCCAGCTCAACAACACAGCTGCGCACGCGCACAGTACGCACGCTCCCCGGCCGGGAGATCTCCGCCGACCTCGTCGTAAGCCCGCCTTCCTTCTAACAAAACACAAACCCTTCCGCTCACCACACTCGCAGCTCATGTGTACAGGCCAAACACCAAACACGCGCCTCCTCACCGCGCTCGACCCTGCCACGGTCAATCCTACCACCGCCCTCGCGCGCGTCCTGCGCACTATGCAGCTATGCCGTGCCCCGCCAAAGGGTGCCGCTCCTCCGGCGACTGCGGGAGAGCAGGCCACACCTACAGACACCACACCGCCCACGACGCCCTACCCACACATATTCGCCATCGGCGACGCCGCAGACGCGTTCGGCGCCCTCGCCGCGGGACATAACGCGTATTATCAGGTGAGTTTGGGTCAGGTTCTCGATTTTCTGTGCACTCACGGGTTGCTTTTTGGGATTGAAGGGCGAGGTCGCGGCGCGTAATGTACTGCGGCTGATTAATCGAGCTGCGCAACGCGATGGCGAGCAAGGGAAAGAGCAAGAGCAAGAGCCGCTGGAGGAATACACCCCCGGGCCGCCTGCGATCAAAGTCTCCCTTGGTCTCGTACGTCCTCTTTCCTCCTTCCTTCCTCCTCACTTTCTTTCTTTTTTGTTTCCCTGTTTCCCTTTCTTCGTCTTCGTTCCTGTCCCACGTTTCCCATTACCCGACATTTCCGACATTTCCACATTCCCTCACTTCCTCGTTGCCCTTCTTCCCTCGCTTCGCCCTTTGCTCACGCTTAACTCGCAGGACACCGCCGTCTTCCAATCGCAGGGCGTCGTGGGCCGCCGGGACGGCGGCGCCGGTGCGCGCGCGGACCTGGGCGCCGCGACGATGTGGCCTGTGTTGGGGTATGCGGTTGCTGAGGGGGACGAGTGGATGTTCGAGTAGAGGAGGCGGGGTTAGGGTGTTCGAGTAGATGATGTGGGGTTACAAGAGGTGGGGAGGGGAAGAGGAGAGGTAATAGAAGTGGAGCTAGAGCTAGAATTAACTAAGAATACAAGATTATTCAAATTAATACGAGAGGGGTGAGCCATGCGTGGTCTGTGAGTAAAACCTATGTCTGTGCTTGATCGCAACTCATGCCCACCTACATGTGTAATCACTACATCGATATCGTGAAGACTCATGAACAGGAGGGCTCTACGGCTACAGCTGGCTGTGTACAGATGTCTATATTTCCCCGTCCGTCCTGCCGTCACGAACACAAACGCCGGCCAACGTGTCATTACTAACCACTGACCCCGTCCGGTCATCCTGTTCTCCAAGGATAGAACCACAATTGGGAAAGTAGGGGATGAACAGAAGGTTACCAGTAAGAACAGCACATACAGCAGAAGTGGAGGGTGAGAGAATGTTGCGGATAGGGGGTCGTAGAAGCTGTGAGGGTTCATACCGGAAAGGAGCCCACCGTTCCCTTCCGAATGAAAATTGAAGTTATTCGCGTAGACACCAAAACATACATGTATCCTATGGACTGGACACATCCGGAATCGAACCGGAGACCACTCGCAATCACAAATGCAAAGCGAGCGTGATAACCAGCTACACCATGTGCCCCTAG